ATGTTCTGCATTCAAGCCATTACCCTGCCCTTACTTTGAGCTGTGCATTCACGTCATGACTGACTTTGCTTTATGCTGTGCATTCGCCCCATTACTCTTACTTTACTTTATATAGTTGTTGCTCACAAAAGACGGTATTCCTTATTTCCACTGAATAAAACCATATTGGTTGCACAGAACAAAAGATTGTGTCACACTATGGCTAGGACAGAATTACACTGGTTATGTTGGAGTACAGTGTTCAATTCTCGGTACCATACTTTAAGAAGAAGGGCAAGGTATTTGTGAGGTTGCAGAGAAAATGTAATCAAATGTTGGCAAGGATGAAGGAATTCAGACATGTGGAGAAACTGAAGAATTTGATCCCGTCCTGCTTAAAGTAGAAAAGACAGAGGCATTTAAGATTATTAGCTATTATGTTAGAATAAATGAAGGGCATTGTTTCCAGGGGATAACTGGAAAATGCATATTTCATTCAAAAGTAACTTCTAGCTGAATGAATACTTGATGGAAAAATTATTTTGGAGCTGTAGGGACTAGCAGGGGGATAACACTGGTTGGATAATTCCATTAAAGAACTATTACAAGTCCGATGGGCCAAGTTCTTTGCTGTATTATTCTACTATAGCTCACCACGTTATAATAGAAGCAAAATACTGAAGATGCTGGAAATCTGAAATAAAAGCAGAAAATGCTGGAGAAACCCAGTGCATCTGGCATTATCTGTTGAGAGAGAAACCGAGTTAATGATTTGAGTCCCATATGGCTTTTCTTCAGAAATGAAAAGGGCTGAAAAATGCTGTATTTTCTACAGCTGACAGAGGAGCAGCACGAGCGAAAGGAACATCTATGATCAGTTCTGTTGCTTCACTTGCTCCTCCTGCCCTTCTTTTTAACAGCAAAAAAATCACTACTTTCCAATCCTTTTCAGTGCTGAAGAGGAGCTACATCAGGCTTGTAATCTTAACTCTGTTTCTCTTTCCCTCGGTGCTGCCGGACCTGCTGAGCTTCTCCAGTGGTCTCTGTGTTTGTTTTGAGGCTCCAAGTCATTTTGCCACAGTGGAAGTCCTGGCTGACATTCACTGTCTTCTCTTTGTCTATACCCAGTTTCCAAAAAAAAAATCACCTACATACTTTTACATGCTTTTAGGCACAGTAGACCTTTTCTTATCTAAATTCTGGCCCCATTCCCTTCCTCCCAGCGCAACAGAAATACTGTCTCATCACCACCTCTGGAAAATGCTTAAAGAAAATGTGGAAAACAGGACTAGAACACAAAGCAGCAATTAGTGCATAGAAATGGAAGTAGTAAAGATGACAGTGTACATCTTTCTGAAAGGCGGAAAATGGCATTTCCAATTAGCAGAACTCACCAGAAGTGGAACAAGAGGAAGATGAATGGGTACTTTAATTAAACTGAACAAAAAGGGAATAGTGAACAAGAGCTGAAGGTTAAACATCAGACACCCTGACTCTGATCTACAGAAGCAGACAAGTTAGAGACGGGTAGTTAAAGAGACAGGACTCCAAATGTGAGGAAAAGCAGTAGCCTAACTCACCTATAATTGACCAGCCTGTAGGATTTATTGAATAAAGTTCTTTCCACTGAAATTGGGTCTGTGGAGGTTACATAGAAAGCTGTTTTCTTTTTTCTTTTTATCAGGATTTGACAAATATAAATGTTCTAAAATTCCATCTGCTTCACATATGCTCCATTTACGGACCACAACTCAAGTATAAAGTTTTATTGAACACAGGCATGCACACAAGAAAGGAAAGTACAAAGGTGGCGCTGCCTTCACAGCATCTATTTAAAATTAAACTAACCCAATGCTGTTTAAAAAAATGGTTTGAAGTGTTATGGTCTGATTCACGTGACTGAATACCATCATATTAATACCCAGCTGCAATAGGCAGCTGACGAATATAATTGTTCGAACATTTCATTTCAACCTAGAATTATCAAGCTTTTACAGCATACAACCAGTCCATTTGTCCCAGCTGGAGGGTGCTGGGCTTTATGGTCCACACAACCTTCTTTATCTAACCCCATCAAGACATTCTTCCATTGTTTTCTCCCCTTGACATTTAACAACATTATCAATGCTGAGTCTCCCACTATCCTGAGGGTTACCATTGATCTGAAACTGATTCTATTGCCACAAAAACACTGGAGCCATAACAGCTGATCAGACACCAGGAATCCTGCAACTAATAACTCACGTCCGGATTCTCCAATGCCTGTCCACCGCCTATAATGGGCAAGTATACAGTGTGAGTGAGCTTCTTGAGTGTTTTTGGAGCTGCACAAATCCAGGCAAATGGGGAGCATCCCGTTACACCCTGACTTGTGCCTTGCAGATGGTGGACAGGATTTGGAGTCAGGAAGTGAGTTACTTGTTGAAGGATTCCTCGCCACTGACGTGTGTTGGGACCATCACTGTTTCTCTTTATTCTTCTCATTTTTAGTTTGGAACTGTGAGCTGAAGTGGAGAGTTGAACTTTTGACTTTGAGCAGCAGCTTGTCTTAAAAAAAGGGAAGAACAAATATATGGATTTGTTTATGGGAACTGGTCTGGAAAGGTAACTGCTGGTTAATTATTGTTCTACGAAAGCTGCAGACATTTTGGCACCTGAGATGTATTATGCACAAAAACTGGCAGCTGACTGCATGTTAAAAGGGTCAGTCAAAGGGAGAGAGTGCCGCCCAGTCAAACAAAGGGAATGTTAAAAAAAACAGAAAGAGAGACTAAAGACTGAAACAGTTTGGACTGGATTTTGGGCAGGTGGCATTGTGTCTACTGAATGGAGTTTTGGTCACAGTCTAGTTATTCACTAGTTATCGAATTGTTGAAAGTTCTGAGAAAAGAATCCCAGTCCGTAAGACAGATATAAATGTCTCCAGCAGCCTATGGAAGCTGTTTATATTGGCTGGTGACTTCAGAATTCAAGCAATATATACAGTGCCACATGTTGGTGAACAACTCATTATCTAAAGATCGCATAAAGGTTTAGCAACCGTCATTCAAATCTCCTTAAGTGAACTGGCCAGTTAGAACTTTTATTTTCTTTCAATTTATCCTTTAAGTTTCTGTGTTTGAGCAGGAATTATGATCAAAGAAGATTGGGCTTAAATCATGGACATTAATTAGATTATCTTATTGTTTAACTTTGATCTGCTGAAGTTACAGTATTAGTAATAAATTATTCATTTTTGTTTAAGCTATAAACTTGGTGTCTGATATCAATTATTCATAAAGTCTGCTTAGAAACGTTTGGGCAGTTTTGAGGGTCACCCAGCATTTTAATTTCATTGTGCTGAAATATCCTGTTTTAGCCCATGTGACTTGGCTTGGCTTGCTATCTCTCTGTCAGAATGCCTACTCTTGTAGCCACAGTGTTTAAATGCCTAGTCCAGTTCAAATTCCGGTAATGGTTACCACTACAATATTGATACACTTGGAACTTCATCACCATTCCTTCACTACTGCTGGGTCAAAAATCTGGAACTTCTTTCCTAACAGCACAGTTAGTGCCCATAGATTTGACAGTCTGATCTGCCTTTGTACAAGAAGTTGGCTAGGCACTATCTTGTCATGGGCAATTAGGGATGACCAACAAATACTGGTCTTGCCATCAAATGAATGTTTGGAAATCGAACTTCCCTTAAATGCATATATGTCAGCCACCTCAACTATTCCAAGTGTCAAGTTCCACATTCTAACCAGTCTCTGGGCAAAGGTTTCTCCCAAATGTTTTGAGTTTAACTACCAAATTTCTCCCCCTTTCTTTGTGTGAACGAGGGTATCTGCTGTATTTAGTCTCTAGACCTTTGCTGCCCTTTGTATGTGTGCTCAAGCAATGAGTACTTCTGCATGAAAACCAAAAGAACAGCAGATACTGTAAATCAGGAACAAAAACAGAAGTTGCTAGAAAAGCTCAGCAGAACTGGCATCATCTGTGAAGAAAAAAATCAGCGTTAATGTTTCGGGTCCAGAACTGTTCTGAGGAAGGGTCACTGGACCTGAAACATTAACTCTGATTTCTTCTTCACAGATGCTGCCAGAGCTGCTGAACTTTTCCAGCAACTTCTTTATGACTGCTTCTGCATCATTGGTGCATCACGTGCTGACACCAAGCACACTTCTTCATCCAACATCCTGGCATGTTGCCTTTCTAACAGGGATAAATGGACAACAAATTGAAGTGAGCATAATGATTCATTTATTGTCCTCTCCTAGCCCAAAGTTGCTCCCTGCTTTTGTAAAAATCTAGTCATGATCCAGCTGAAATCAGTTTTTAACATTGATCTCAAGAACATTGTCAGGACATTCCCAGTATGTACGACTTCAAATCAAGTTCTGTGGTGCTTTCCTCCACCAAGTCACTGGAAATGGTCAAAACCAAACTCAAAATCAAACTTTTTACATACATACTTTTTACAAACATTCCCAGAAGGTATTATTGTAGTTGTCATGTCTTGGGACTAGTAATTCAGAAGTTTGGACGAATGATCAGGCAATATGAGCTTAAATCCAACCATGGTAGTTTGAGTATTTTAATTCAGGTTTTAAAAATACAGAAACAAGAAAAACTGGCACAATCAAATTTGACATTGAAGCTGTGAAATTGTTTTAACGAACCAGCTAGTTTCTAATTGCAATTTAGGAGGTGAAACATGTCATCCTTACTTTGTCTGGTTCTATATGCATCTATAGACACATACCATAATGTTTGGCTCCTACATGCATTCTGAAGTGACCTGACCAGCCACTAAGGTGTGTGAAATTGCAGCAGCTTACGAAGACGTCATGCACCCCAAGGACTAATTAAAAAACGGTCAAGTCATGCCGAGTAATCCTGGCAGTTGCGTGGCATATTCCATGCCCAGGCAGCTGCCCACTAGTAGGTCCCTAACAAAATCAGCAATCCCAGATACTCTTCCTCTAACTCAGTGCAATATTTGGACTGTACAAACAGTCCACATTCAGGGTACTTACTTGACACGGACTTCTGCTATTGTTGCCGCTTCATTGAACTGTGCTGACGCAAGCTGGTAGTAGTCGTCATGCTGTAAGAAAGTTAATGCACTAGTTATTCTTTGGTTTATTGTATTAACAGGCAACATTGCATCACGTTTCATTGGAAATACAACCAATTCAATATCTCACTGAAACATCTTCCTTAGCCATTGGCTGTGAAAAATATCAACAAAACGAGGCTCACTAAGGTATAAATCGAGTCAAAGAAAACCCTAGGCCCTCTATATCATGGCACGCTAGCAGGAAACTTTGAGCAATCATAAAACATTAATTAACAAGTTAATAATGGGATTTTAAACTTAAGATTAAAGAAGCATTTTTCCTAACATTTTAACTATGGAAGTCTGTGAAACATACAATATTATATCCAACTTCTCAACCTCTCTCTTTGTCTGAGGTATGGTGGCCCTCAGGTTAAATCACCACCAGTCATCTCTCCAATGGGACAGCAGCCCATGGTCTGGTAAGACTATGGCAACTCACACACATATTGTATCCAGCTAATTGTGAGGAAAGATTATGAAAAGTTAGGACATTTTTATCTGAATGAAGACGTACCTAAGATAGTTTTTTGCTTTTCTGAGGTTGCTCAATTATGAATTCTCCTTCAATGCTCCTTCTCTCCCTTTGCTCCACTGGCTACATGAAAGGATAGGTAATGTGGGCCAAATGGTCTCTTTCTGTGCTATATTGTTCTATAATTTCAAATGGAAATGTTTATTTTAATCCAGAGAGTTATTACGAGTTGAACTACTACTGCAGGGAATGGGGCACAGGCACAAAACACTAAAGGCACATTTCAGGTCTGACATCAGAAAGCAGTTCCTCACATAGAGAGTGATCTGTGCCCACAATGGTATGGATCAGGTAACAGAGGCAAAAGAGTTCTGGAATTAACAAATATCCTTTAAAGAGTGGTGGGCAGAAAGGAGAAACTTCAATGACAACATGAGACAAATGAACCAAATGCCCCTTCTCTGTAGTCTTGTGTAGTCAGTGAGTAACTCCTGCACCCCTGTTAAATGGGGCTAACATCCTAAAGTCAGTCACTAAAACAAGGTAATCCTTGACCACAAGCACTACCTCAATGACTGCTCATTGCTTTTGATGGAGCCAAGACATGAGGTGAGAAACCCAGGTATACATATTCAATACTGCGAATGGCAGAAAAGAAATAGTGAATATAAACCAAAAGAACTGCAAATGCTGGAAATAAGACACAGAAACTGAAATTACTGGAAAAGCTCAGCAGGTCTGGCAGCATCTGTGGAGACAAATCAAAGTTAAAGTTTCGGGTTCAGTGACCCTTCCTCAGTCCAAAATGTTAACAGATGCTGCCAGGAAAGAAATGTTGGTCTTTGTGCGATGGCAGCTGCTACCTGCTGGGCATTTAATTTTGAGTAAAAGATACAATCCAGACACAGGATTTGAAATTAGCTTTTTTCAGGGGAACACTTCAAGAAAATATCAGCAAACCTTCTGTTCAAACACAATACTCTTTGAAAGCAGGTTCTATGGGTTAATTTAAAGCCCTCATGTTCTGGACAAAGGAACTTGCAACTAAAAATAATAGGGCAGTCTGGCTTTCTTTTTTCAACATTGTGATAATCAACACCACCACTAGTTCCTTTTTTTAAAAGTTGATTATTGGACCATCGATAAATCATAACCTGATCCTTAGTGAATAGTACAGAACTCTCAAGCTTGTGAGGAGCTTCCTTTGTCAGATGATGAAGTGGCCATCGTTGAATCTGGGATAAGCACTTCATCACCCAAGAAAAGAATCCTCTAAGGATTCCAAAACCTGGCATACACTTTTTAAAAGATGAAAATAAGGTATAAGCTTTAACATTACTTGAGGTTACTTAGGTAACACTATTTAAACTGCAGAAATGCATTGTTTATTTAGAAACTGCTAATACTGGTTTGAGTGGTATTGCTTTCACAATATGATCTTTACACAGATAAATGTCAAGGCTGATCAAGATATTGCATGCTGCAAAAGTCATGCTGTCCTAAGTTTAATCATTGCTATGAAAGCATTTTTTTTAATTGAAAGGTAGTGCTGTTTAAAGTGTTGGGCAAATAGGGAAGGAGGTCTGATTAGAACAGCCCCCAAGAGTGACGGAAAATAGAGTTTGATCATTCCAATAAGTACATCATCACAGAGGTAATGGCAGTCACATAATGTTAACTGTTACAAATGGTGGAGTAGCTCAACTTCCCAAACAAACAAAATTATTACATCAGATCTCTCCCCAGCAATCCAGGTCATCCTCCAGCCCTATACTCTGCCTGGAGTATGAATTCTAGATCACTGAATGCTCTCTTGTATTTATAGAATCCCTACAGTGTGGAAACAGGCCCTTAGGCCCAACAAGTCCACACCGACGCTTGGAGCATCCCATAGACCCATCCACCTATAACCCACCTAATCTGTTTCCCTGTTTATGGGAACTCTACATTCCTCTGAATCCAGCATCCTTCATCTCCCCATTTTTATTGCTTCACCTTCAGCTGTCCCCTGTGCCACAATCTCGTGAATTCCACTCTAATGGGTTCCTCCACCTCTCTTTATCTGCAGTCCTGAGGAAGAGTCACTCGACCTGAAATGTTAAGTCTGATTTCCCTCCACAGATGCTGCCAGACCTGCTGAGTTTTTCCAGCAAATTCTGTTTCTGAATCTAGCATCCATAGTTCTTTTGGTTTTTATTTGGATTTCCTTCTCCTTTTCCATGGACACTGAAGTCAATGGTCCAGCCTCAATTGCTTTTACATCCCTAGGTCTCCTCCCTTCTTGCAATCTATAAGCTTTTAATATCAAACTTGATGTCCCCTAAACTGTTTATCCATCTCGTCTTCCCTTCTACACTTTTAAACCCTTGCATCACTCGGCACTTTGAATTTCAGCCCTTAACGTGGTCTTGTCTAAACTGACATCCACATCAGACGTAAAAGTAAACAGTTCCCTTTTTGAGTTACAATTTCCCTTCTGCTGTTGTATTTACATTTATTGCAATAACTTAGCAACATGCGATCTTACTTCTAAATCTAAACTGGTAGTTGATTTTGAAAATATAAATGAAAACGAAAAGTTCAAAGAGGCCAGTGGGAAAATAATTATGCAATTTTACAAAAGTAAATTGGTGCCAGTAGATTCTCACAGAGCTTCTCATCTGTAGAAATATAATGTGATATTAAGCATTTAAAGAACTGCTGCAAAAGAAATGGGGAAAAAAATAATGGAGTGTTCATTAGCTCTTCTTCCCTTGAAGATCCATGGAAACCTACATTTAAAGGTGTCACAACATCAAGATGAGAAAGGTTATGCTTCTCATCAAGATTGTTCTTGTATTACCCAAAATCTCTGAGAAGAGCATGCAACTATTTTTAATGATGATAATTACATTTATATAACTCCTTGTTATAGTCAATGTGTTTTAGCAAAGCAGTACATTCTGAACTATCGATTCCTAGGAACAGCAAAGATGAAAAGTTCATTCGCCTTTGCTACTAGTTGAGAGCAGAATATTGGCCAGGATATTGGGTGCATTCACTGTTCTTCTTCAAATAATATTGATGAATCTTAAAACTGTGCAGAAACCAAGAGGCATAAAGACAGGTTTAACAGCAGATCTGAAGGATAGCATCTCCAAAATGCAACATTCCTTTAGGATGGCACTAGGCTAGCCAGGCACTCAAGTGTATACTGGATGTCCAATCCCTCTATATCTTTATTCCCCAACAGGATGAATCATAGAATCCCTACACTGAGGAAACAGGCTCTTCAGCCCAACAAGTCCACACCAACCCTCAGAGCATCCCACCCAGACCCATCCCCCTATAACCCACCTAATCTACACATCCCTGAACACCATGGGCAATTTAGCATGGTCAATCCACCTAGTCTGCACATCTTTGGACTGTGGGAGGAAACTGGAAAACCCGGAGGAAACCCACACAGACACGGGGAGAATGTGCAAACTCCACATAGACGGTTGCCTGAGGGTGGAATCGAACCTGGGTCCCTGGCACTGTGAGGCAGCAGTGATAAGCACTGAGCCACTGCGCTGCCCGATGGTCTGAGAGCTCTCGGCTTCTCCCTCAACCAGAGGCCTGAATAATCTACCACCACTCTCCTCCACTTGGCTGAACTCATTCTCTCGCTAAACAATTTCTCCTTTAATTCATCTCACTTCTGCCAAGTCAAGGAAGCGGTGATGGGCACCCGCATGAGTCCCGGTTATGCCTGCCTCTTTATGGGGTATGTGAACAATTCTTGTTCCAGTCCTACACTGGCCCCATACCACAACTCTTTCGTTGGTACATCAACAACGGTTTCAGTGCCACTTCATGCTCCCACTTGGACCTTGAAAAATTTGTTCATTTTGCCTTCAATTTCCACCCCTCTATAACATTCATATCGTCCATTTCAGACACTTCCCTTCCTTTCCCTGACCTCGCTGTCTCCATGTCGGGGAATAAACTATCCACTGCCATCCACTACAAAGCCACTGACTCCCATAGCTACCTTCACTTCAGCTCTTCACACCCCACGTCCTGCAAGAACTCCATCCCATTCTCCCAGTTCCTTCGCCTATGTCATATCTGTTTGGATGATGCCATCTTCCAAAACAGCGCTGCTGACATGACTTGCTTCTTCCATAACCATGGTTTCCCGCACACTGTGGCTGACAGGGCCCTCAACAGCATCTGACCTATCACCCATGCTCCTGCCCTTGCCCCTTTCCATCACTGACAACAGCATGATCGGGTCCCTCTTGTTCTCACTTTTCACTCCACCAGCCTCCACATTCAAAGGATCATTCTCCGTCATTTCAGACAACTCCAGCAGAACACCACCACCAAACACATCTTCCCTTCTCTCCCCCATCTGTATTTTGCAGGGATTGTTCCCTCCGAGGCACACTAGTCTGATTCCTCGACCACCAACATCAACACCCCTTCCCACAGCACCTTCCTATGTAACCGCAGAAAGAGCAACACCTGCCCCTTCACCTCTTCCCTG